ATATTTTCAGCAGCCTCTAGCAAGCAGCCGCATGGACGGACAACCAGAGTACTACAAGCTATTAATATTCATGAATCATCCCTACCACCATTAAAATTTCCTTAAAACGCACCACAGCAGTGGCTGGATTTACCTCTCCTGGAGATGATGGGGGCCATTAACCCCTGACTGTCAGAGGAACGGCTGGGAATCGCTCATGAGCTGGGATTTGGAGGAGAAGCTGGAGCAGCCCTTGCTGCAGTACTGAGGAGCTTTCAGGGGGTAGATGCGGTTGGAGGAAGCGCTGCACCGCAAAGGTAGCTCTGGGTGCATACCCATCGCTTGGGGGTGCCCATGGTGGCAGGCACCGCCCGGCAGCAGCCACCGCTCATCCAAGCACGGGGCGCAGGAACCGGGTGCTGCCGGCAGCATGGACACTGCCCTGAGGCTCCCCGTGCCCAGGGAGCAGCAGCATCCCGACTGCATGGCCGCTGTAGGGAGCAAGGGCACATCTACAGCCAAGAGCCGTACCGGTGGCTTTTGGAACGGGAGCTCTGGATCTGAGGCAGACCTGGGCCCCGCGGCAGTAGGCGGCTGCGGACTGAGCAGGGCTCCGTCGCTGCTCCTCTCCTGCCTGGGTACCAAAGCCACCTCTCTCCTCCCTCCGCAGCAGCCCCGTGCTCCGCTCCCCGCGCACACGGACCGGCCGCCCTACCCTTACCCACAGGACTGACGGCTTTCACATGCAGAGCATTAATTTCCCAGCCGTCTGCCTCTAGGAAACCGGGGGAGGTATTTGTGCCGCTGGGAGACTTGCCCGTGCTCGCTTTGGGAAGCAGGCAGAGCCGGCACGGGGACCACAGACCCAGGATGCCCTGGCTTGGTGTCGTGGCATCAGCTCACTGCAGCCGGTGGCCCAAGCGTTTTCCATGTCTTTTCCTTGCTATCCATTAAGTTGTCTTTGCCATCCATTACCTAAATACTAACAAATGTCGTTTGAAGGGACCCAAGCCCTGGCTGTGGGTAACAGCTCCTCAGGCTTCCTGCAGTTAAAGGTCTGATTAACTGAACCTGCCGCTTCTTACACACGGTGCCGCACAGGCGCTTAACGCTCAGCTTAAACATCCACAAACGTAAAGCATCACGGATGTGTCATGCCCCGCAAAGAGGCAGCAGCCAAGCAAGCGGCACGAGGCACAGCTGCCATTTTTCTCCAGCACAACCGTTGCTCCGTTAGGAAAACGCTATTTCACCTCTGTAATAACTGCTGCCGTGACAAACAACCGTTTGCTCTCGCATCTCTGAGGTTGCAGAGGAGTAAGCAAGCAAATGAGGGTGGAGTAATTAGAGCAAGGCGGCTGTTGCCCAGTCACGCACGTTCTTGTCTCCGGGGCTTCCCAGAGAGCGAGCGACCACCTTGCACAGGTTCAGCCACGGCACTGATGGCAAACGGAGACACGGTGCTGGCTCCTGCTCTTTGAACCTGAAAATAAGGTGGGTTTTCTTGCTGTACTTCCTTGTACTTTTGGTATAGCTGTAAACAAACCCCCTCTAGAAGGCATCGTACTGTCGGGGCTCAGCGCCACGCAGCCATCGCTCACTGCCCTGCCCCGGTGGGATGGGGAGAGAATTGGAGGAGTGGGAGTGAGAAACACTCCTGGGCTGAGATAAGAACAGTTTCATAATTGAAAAAAAATAGTAATGATAATAGTAACAGTATAATAATGATAATGATAATAACAGTATCCAAAGCAAGTGATGCCCAATGCAGTTGCTCACCACCCGCCGACCGATGCCCAGCCAGTTCCCAGCAGCGATCGCTGCTCCCCGGCCAACCCCCCCAGTTTCTATACTGCCCATGACGCCGTATGGTATGGAATAGCCCTTGGGGCAGTTGGGATCAACTCTCCTGGCTGTGCCCCCTCCCAGCTTCTTGTGCCCCTGGCAGAGCAGGGGAAGCTGCAAAGTCCTTGACTGGCATAAGCAGTGCTGAGCAACACCTAAACCATCAGCGTGTGATCAGCATTCTTCTCATCCTAAATCCAAACCACAGCACTGTGCCTGCTACTAGGGAGAAAATTAACTCTAGCCCAGCCCAAACCAGGACACGTACTAAAAACCTTGTGGGAGCATCTGCTGTTGCTTCCGTAAGATGCTGCAGACCTTAAAAGCAGGAAACGGAGGGAATGAGATCCTGGAGCAGCCAACAGCGGTAGCTTTTGCTCCGTGCTTCCTACTAGAACCAACCTTGTCTCCTTTAGACTAATAATACTTTTTTTTTTTTTCAGCAAGAACACAACCATGAATTTAGAAAAAACACTGCCAAATTCACCCTTTCAATAGATAGAAGTGGCAAATTAAATAGATATTTTTCTTACTGAAACAAGTGATCAAAACCGATGTGTAACAGCCAGGAGTAACTTGCTCCCTGGAAGAATCTTCCATGGATGATGGAGAACTATGTTAGCTGAATTATTTGATTTATTTGTTTAAAAATAAAGCCCTGAAGACATTTTAGATGTTTCCTTTAGTTAATGAGATTTCCATGATAGCTAAAAAAAATGAAATTAGAAAACAATGTCGTTAATCTCGGATTACATGCAGCATGGGGGAAGAATTAGCAGCATAAAGCGAGAAGATTAAGACATTTTGCTTTCCACCAAAATAGCTGATAGATGCTACATGCGGTATTCTCCTGTCTGCGATCAGCGACGAGGTGGTCGGGATCTGCCCTTCAGTCTCTAACCTGGCATATTTGGGCACGGCCCCCACTTCTCCTTCTGACATGGCAGGGTCTGGTTCAGAGAAAATAATTACGGGCTGAGCAAAGGGATGACAAAGATGTAGTAGGCGGTAGGAGACAGCAAGGACAAGCGCATGTATTTGATCAGCTCGCGCAGTCAAATAGCTAATCGGGAATGTTTTCTCAAGCATTTGGTTAACGCATACACTAAATATTACATACGTGTGAACTATCAATAAATAACTATCATCACTTCACATTTTAAAGGTTAAATTATATTCCATTAAAATTCTCAAATTAAATCACAGTAACTTTATATACCCCGTATTCGGCTGTTCTAATAAACAGCAGTATGAAACGGGGATAAAAATACATCCCAAAATAGGATTACATATAGCAATAAAAGGGGAAATAATCTTTGAAGAAACGATGTAAGAACAAATTCTAACTGCATTAAAAAGGAACAAGTCATGTTTTCAATCACCAGCCAGCCCAGGGTTTGATAATCTCATGTGTACAGCATATAAATCTGCGAGTACGACAAATTGCATTTTAATTTATGTACTGAAAAGGTTAACTTCTACCCTCTACTCGCTTCAGAAATCAGGGAAAACACGTTCGCTCTCAGCGCACGCCGAGACTCACGCAGTAACCGCCTTCACTGGGGCAGATCTCGCAGAAAGCCTCAGCGTCTCGCAGAGCTGCAAAAGGTTTCAGAAGCGCTCGGCTTTTCACACCGCGCCTTAGCGCATCCCTTTTACCCAGCTATCGCGGCCCTGCCTAAACCGACACCACCGAGGCAGGGAGTACCAAGCAGTATTTTTGGCAGGACCATCAGCCATCCGGACCTAGAGAGCCGCCGGAATGTGTTTACCTTCCTGCAGCACGTTGTGCCACTGACGCCCAATCCACCATCTTCCAGTCAGCCGTCGCTTGATGGGACCCAGTTCGTTTCTAGCAAAACCACAGAATTCAGTTACTCACGTAACTTACTGCTGCAAGAGAAGTTGAAATTAAATTTCCGTATACAGCAGCAGGGATGAGATTGCCCCCCACCCCTCCAAAACCACCCCGACCCTGTTTCATGGGGTTTTATCAGCAGTATATGAAGTTCTATAAAAGTTACGATCAATTGCACTCAGTTTCTTCTATTATTTAAAAATAAATTTATTATTTATTCCTATTGTTTCAAAACAAAATTTAAATCATGTCGCTTTCAGTTATCTGAAATCAAAGGGACTGAGCTTCATGATAAGCCCGCATATGTACAAAACGCTCACACCAACCTTTACAAAAACACAGCCCTTTTGTTCACAAACTTTTTTATTGAAGAGTGAATCGTTATGCAGATATTCAACAAAATATTAACAAGTTTATTCTTTGAGATAATTTTACTAAAGTTTTTGTCAAACACAACACAGTATTCCAAAAATCCGCAACTGCAAGGTACAGTCTCCTTAGCTTCTAATTTTTTTTTTTTTTGGTACTTATCTAAACCAGAAAAGCTTGCAAAGAAAATGCATATTGTACAAAACCACTGTATGGGGCATATGATGACATACAGAAATTACGTTCCTTGGAACACACAGGTATTGATGCATAAACGCTTTAACTCTTAAAAATAAAACGCGCAGTGATACTCCACAATGAGCTCTGCATGAGGCTCCTGACTTACACCAGGATTCTGCTTTTGCATCAATAATGGATCCTCTGCACTGCAGTTACTTAATTACAGGGTGTTTTTTCTTCTGATGCATACCAAAATTGAGCAGGACTAAAAAAAGGCCAAATCTTACATGCAATGCAACTGGACTGAGCAGTCGGTAACTCCAGGTTGGGTTCAAGGCATGCAGGTAATCTCATCCCCTGTTTTTAAACCAGCCACACTGCTGTTAACTAGATGTACACGTTCATCTCAAAATAAATAGTCATCCCATGATACGCACTGTATCACGACGTCAAATAAATATTTCTACAGCACCTACTGCTGTGACTCCAGATCACACCTTGAGGAGAGACAGCTAAAATGGGAAGAAGTCAGGAAAAAAAATCGTCTCTATCCTGAAACAACATAGTGAGTATTAAATATTTTATTATTGGCATGTCATATTTTATTATTGGCATGTCGTTTGCAAACAAGTAATGACAAATTCATGACAAAATAATTAATAAAAAATAAGTAATAAATTTGGTCCCTAAGCAACTGCAATCTTAACCGTTTGTCAAAGTCACCCAAGAGCAAAACCCAAGGGAAAGGGGAGCCGAACCCAGCCCGACACTAGGCAGTCTCCTCGTTCACCAGCAATGGTTCCACTTCCAGTGCTACTAAAGCAGGCTGCTTTTCCTTGTGCTGCCGGTACAGGACGAATTGCAGAGTCACCTGTTATTTTGGGGTAAGGAAGTAATTAACTAGAACACAGAGGTAGCATTTGCGGTACTTGCTTTCAATTAAAACCAAAATAAGCTGTACAGAATAAAAGCAGCCATCCATTTAGTTCTGGCACATACTCTGAATACCACAGTCCACAGAGGAAAGCTTAAAACTTGCTGTATCTAATTCATGTACTGTAGCGTAAGTATTATCCATTTATTTAATCCCAACTGTGGAATTTTCTACATTAGCATATAACCTTTTCCAAATCCAACTTAACGCTCATTTTCAGTACTCCTCTATGGCAAAAATTCTAATCGTATTTTACTTGCAACACTAGAAAAGGGAACATGCAGAAAAATTCCAACTCAAAACTTCAGATCTCCTTGGTTACATGGCTCAAATACACATGAAAATACCCTTTACTGCCTCATCCCCGTGCTTGCAAGGGCCCCAAGTGTGAAATTCATTAGAAGCAGAATAGGAACAAGGTTCATCCAGGAACAGTTTGGAATCAAACATACTGCCCTGCGCCACTCCAGCATCAGCGGTCTAAATACTGCGGGCTGGGCTGAGGGCGGATGCTGGCAAGGAGGGCGAGTTATTAAAAACTTCCCTTAGCAATAGATCAGCAGGGCCTGATCAAAAAACAAAATTCTCGTGTCCTGCAAAATTCTAGGCGGTTTGGTATTTACAGGCACTGACAGGCAGACAGCGCTGTGACTCAATATTTAATGCTGTTTTCAACACAGACTTGTGCAATTAGACATAATTATTTATTTCTATTGTAAAATAGGCCATTGGAAATCCTGCTAATCTAAAAAGAATTAGCAAGTATGTACTTGTCCTTCTTCTTGATGGTTCCAGCTCTCCAACAAAATTATTGACATTGAGCATATAGAGCCTTTATATTAAAAAAAAAAAAAAAGGGGGGGGTGTGTGTGTGCAGAACGGGCAGGAGAGCTGTCTTACTTGTCAGAATTTTTGCTAGATAGTTGAGGAGTTTCATACTTGAGTACTGAACTTGATACAAACCACTTTGTTTTCTGATACAGATACCATTTTAAGATATAAAGATATCACGCAAACCTATCCAGCCATGCCCTCCCCTTAAGTATTCTTCTCTATTCTAGTCTATTCTAAGAAATATGCAGAATAAGGATTTCCTAGCCACAGTAAATCGATACGGAAATGACGTGAAATGCAAAGCAGCAGGTACCAGAAGCCCGTCTTCACCAAGGCAAACCACCACCAGCCAGCAAAGTGGCAATACTCTCCATACGGCATGGTTTATGGCTCCTACTTCTTTTGCTCACTTTGGGCACGTTTTTTTCTTTCGTCTTCTAAAAGACGGAGTGATTTCAGCAGCAGACTGTGCTAAACCCAGCATTATTCGCTATCCAACTTTGCCGAAAAGTTTTGAGGAGGGCATTAGCTGGGTGGAAGCAGTAGGCGAGGTCAAGTAGGGAGCCTCCAACATAAGGATCTGCACGAAAGCACGTTTAAAGGCATGCGGCGCAGAACCAAGCGGCCATCCGTACAGCCGAGTACCTTCTACAAATTCCAATGGATGCTCGTGTAAGTTCAGCTTTTGTAGATCCTGGATCACCACTACTGTTACATCTAAAATCCCATTTTAAAAATGAAATCTGACATGCAGAATTCTAGCAGGAACGCTTTAGATCGGTTAAAATAACTTGGCTGGTAGACAATGGTTGTGAGAAGTTCGAGGCTAATGTATGTAATTGTTTATAAAAATGAGGAGAGGGAAGAAAAAAAAACAAGCAGCTTTCTGGGAGGCCTGGATGAATGGAGAGGAAATTCTCTACATCCTAGGCAGAGCCCCAAGAATTATCCCACCTTCCCAAAGCTTTCCAGCATCCCACCTCTGAGGCCCCCCAACTAAAGACTAGACAGGATTTCCTTCAGAGACAGCAGGTCAGCACTCCTTTTTTAGTCTTCCGACAGTATTATGTGGGGAATGCTTTCTTCTTGGAGCTTCGCAAATTAGTTTTATAGCATATATAGCTACCACTTAAATTTCCTGCCTTTTTTTTTTTTTTTCTTTTTCATAGGCCTTACTGTACTTGCAGCTGAGTACCTCCCTAAGTCTTCATAGTTGCACTGGTGGAAAAAGAAACTGTGAACTAGGAATCAAATTTGCTGAAATCATGCTGCGGGCTTGGGACAAGCCTGGGCTGTAGCACTGTGCATTACCACTTTTAGCCACCAAGTTGGCAACAGCAACAGAGCTTTTAAGGAGGAATAAATTATAAACACAAGTTATGTGGAGCTTATCAAACGTATTTCCAGAATATGTTTTTGTAGCATATGTACTCAGCTGCTCATATTTTTTAAATAAATGCTAAACTGCCAAGACTACTTAACATAGAAACTAACTTGCTGCTCAAGTCTGACTTTCTGGGGGAAACTTTAAGACCTATGCATGCAGACAGCCCGAAGTGGAGGAGACAGTCAAACTGACTTCTCAGAGTAAAGTTCATGACAGCCACTGAGCTAGCGTATCAAATTTGTTTCATTAAATAAAATAATTTCATGACAATTCAAAAAACAAAAGAGTTTTGAGACAAAAGCGGGTATTTACAGGAGCGCAGAGAAGCAGTTGTATGTTTGGCTGGGAAACTCTCCTGGCTGAATTGTCAGGTCACACTTACATTCTTTGCACAGTGTAATTAAATTACAAAGCGTGATGTTTTGTAGAAGTATATAATGGATTCCAAGTGGTTGCCCTGCAAATCACAAAAGGTGCAAGAGAAGAGCCTCCGTACAACAGCTTGGCTCTTGCTCGAATATACTTTGGCTATCTAGTAACAACCTGGCTACACTTAATGAAAAGAAGTATATGTGGAGGATTTGAACACAGTTCTCTGACAATAGGGTGATGTCAAGTTAAAAAAAAAAAAAAAAGGCAAAAATCTTGGTAAAGGGCTTTGTTGGGAGCAGGGGAGGAAGGAAGCAGGGTGAAAGAGGGGAGCAGGCTTACAGAAAAGGACAAAGTTTTCTGGAAAAACTTGCACTAGATTCAGTCTCTTGGAAACTTAGCGATGGCTGCTGCTGAAAGTCTAAGGGCAGAACTGTTCATCAACCGATTTAGTATTTTAAAATATGTAGTGTTGCATCCTCATGTACAAGCGAAACAAGAAACAATCATGCACATAAAATAAAGCTCTAATAAGATCCACCGTGGAACCTTAAAATAGGCAAACCCAGACTAAGCGTCTCTGGCCCATTTAAACCCTGGGCTTTGTGGTTTCCTGAGAAACTCCAACACCTTCCACTGCAAAGCAGCAGTTGAAAGGAAACATTTCCTGCAGAAGAAAATCATGTCCAATTTCTAATTCAAATGTGTAAGGCTATGAAACTCCTTTTAAAAAGAAAAGGAGGACAATTCATACTCTACAACCAACTGGACACTTCCATTATTTATTGAAAATAACTGGCTTATTGTGCAACCAACTAACTTTAACTTTAGACACCAAGGAAACAGGATGACCGTGTCAGCCTGTTGAACTGAGCTGAAACTACTCCAGTGTAATCCTGCACTAAGTAACGCTGGAGCTGCTGTTCCAGCTATGATCTGGAGTCCATTTGTTTCTAAAAATAGTCAATGTCAGCCGTGTCAGATGGAAGCAAAAGAATACTGCAGCAGACACAGAGTAAGTGAACTCCTAATCCTTGCTTGGACCTTGAGAAATGAGAGTTTACTTTCCACCTAATGAAACTCTGGACACTATCAGGAATAACATCTACTAGAATTAGGCAATTTCTGCAACTACTCCTCAAAACAGAGGCCATCTGTTACACAAAAGATCAATTATGAAACACCTCCCTCTTAGAAATTATTACTTTTTGGTTTAATTCCTCTGTTTTCCAAAAACCAGGTGATCCTGTTCTTCATTTTCTGGTCCAACATGACGTACCAGTTTGTTAGATTTTTTATTTTCTTGCTTGGCAAGAGACAGTAATGAAGCTCTCTCTAAAAGCGCTGACTTCCATACCTTCAGGGCTTCTCAAAGCAGGAGGTCTGCTTTTGTTTTCTCTTGATTACAAATACTTCATACATTTTCAACTAACACTATATACTTGACTAGAATCCTATAAGCTCCTCAACCTGATTTGGAGGCATCTGTTTTCAATATAATTTGAACTGGAGGACTATTAGCAAGATTGGATTCAGACTCCAATCAAGACAGAACCCAGAAATGAATGTCATGTGCACACTGGCACTGCAATCCTGGGGCAGGGTCAGAGAGGGGGGAGGTTTGTGGCCAAGTTCCTTTTCAGAGTACATCATAGAAAGGCATCTGCAAATATGCATATAATGTACTGTAAGGGTCATCAAGATCAAGTTCTAGGGGGTTTTGGGTAAATAAATACTGGCTGGTTTATGTTTCCAGCTGGGGGTGGAAGAAAGAGTCACTGTCACCGAACAAAAGGCCTGAGCGCTCAACGTGGGCTAGCAACCCCGAATCCCTACAGTCTGCTCACGCAAAAGAAACTGCATTGTCTCCTACAAGATAAAACTACAATTTATTTCAAAACGGGCCACCAACCACAGTTTAGTCTCACCACTAGTGGAGTATTGTGTTCCCACGACGCAGAATGTTTTACTAAACTGCCCGCTCAAATCGCCATGGCTGGAGATGCAGAAAACACAGATGGCTATTCTGAATGACAGTATAATTTAGCAGTCCATCCAAAGGCCAGGCTGTCCCATCGCTAGTCTAATTGGAGTGGCTTATGAAATTACTTTAATCAGAAAGACAAGACTGAGGCCTGGGAATCATAACTTCTGGAACTGTTCCAGGTAAATCTGGTAAAGAACTTCCTTTTAATATGGAACGGATTAACACAATATGCTTCAGCATGGTCCTGAAATCACTCTTCATTATATCCTGTTTTATAGTTTGAGTTCATGGAGCTAAGTACCAAGATGTTTTCAGACACAAACCTAAAATTCTTATTTTGGGAAAAATCAGAAAATCTCCTCTTTATACTCTTTTAAGTGAAAATACAAGCTATAGTATCAACACAGGTAACTGTAAACCTGTAGTGAACAGTAAGACCACCACATTACTGTTGACTAGGCTTTTAAAACAAAAGTACAATATTACTCTAAACATTTTGCTTTTAATTTCTTGATCACAAAATGGTAATGCTCAATCTAGAAAGAGCACGACTAACAATAACCAATATACTGCGGGCATCTTACCTACGTCCCCTGAATAGAATTAAAAAAATAGAGTGTTTTAAGTTTGCTCAAGACTTTCAAGAAACTGGCATACTAATCTAGACAACTGTGTAGTCGGTTAGCCCTTGGCATGACCCAGTGAGCATAGCTGCTGGTTTGCAGAGGCACCCAGCATCTCAATGCATCTGATTTTGCCCCGAATTATGCAGTTAAGGGTAGCTGCAGCATCTCTTTGCTAAGTGCTCTTTTCTGACACAAAGTCTGCCAAAACCTCACTGTTTGTCTCTGACGTTAATGCAATCTTGCAATAACACTTACAATTTAACCAAATTCTCAAAGCTATAATTTTATATTTGCATTTAAAAACAAGCAGGTTTGGGGTTTGTTTTGGTTGGTTTGTTTGTTTGGGTTTTTTTGTGGGTTTGTTTTGTTTTTTTTTACATTTATCAGACAGCAAACCTAAGAAAAACAGCACAATGTGCAAACACCCCCCCCAACTTTTAGTATACTACACATTGGCTACAAGATATAAATTAACCTCTGCAATGTAGCTTTAATGTAGGTATTTTCTATAAACTTGTTATTCTTATCAAGAAATATTATTATAAAAAGCATAGAAATTATTGTCCAGAAAGAAGATTTTATGATCACGTTAGAACCATAGAAAAAATTTCTATTTTAAAAAAAAAAAATCCAATGTAAATTTCTGATATACTTATTAACAAGCCTATCCTGAGAAACTCTAGCTATAACAGGAAAAGGATACAAAAATGTCTAGAAACAGAACTCCAAAGCTCCCAATAAGCCATGGAAGATGGTGTAAAAAGTAGGGGGCCCGGAAGGATGGAGTAGCTGGCATCTTTAAAACAAGGCTCAGTCCATACGTGCAGTTTCCCATCATGGCTAATGCAAACAGCAGGTAAGAGGTGCCTTCTGTTGATCTTCTTCGGAACTAAATACAAAGAAGTTTTTACAAATACGAAGAAATTTTAAAACATATATCACAGTAGCCAGTTATAGATAATTTTGGCATTTTGTACTGTAACACATCCAAAGACTTTCAGTCATTCTTGTCCATCTCTTCCTGGGCTCTGAATCCCCCAAGCTTAGTACTTTCAGCACATATCACTGAAAACTACAGAAATTGTTACAGTTCTTACAAGCAGCTCTGGTTAATGTAATTTTTATGCAAGTGTAAAGCAACAAGGATAATCTGATTCCAAATAATATTTAGTTCTTAAGAAATCTGTTGCTCTATCAAGTCTGTTGAATAGACCTTTTTGAAAATATTGTGGTATTCCAGCTGTGAAGGAAAAGGTAGAAGGGGAACATGAATGGGCTTGGAAATGAACTAATCATTTCCATAATCAATTAAAATGCCTGTATACAATTGACAATGTAAAACCTTCAGGTCTTTTGTTGTGGGTTTGGGTTGGTTTGTTTCTTTTTTTTTAATATACTGATAGTGAAGAGGCTGGGGGTGGGGGGAAGTTGGTAATGGCATCTTTGTGAAAAGGGGCTGAAATTCTAAATGAATTTTCCTCTAACTTTTGATCCCATGGTTGGTTACTTCAGGTAGAATAGTTTGGAGAAAGAAAAAGGGCAGACATCACTTGCTCGTGACAACAATCACACAAAGCATAAATCTAACTGATAAATCCAACTGTAAACACTTCCTCTTCCCCAGCCAATCAATCCTCTTCCATCGATCAAAGACCATCATTTTCCTAAAATTCTCACCATCTTCCTCTGAATGGGAAAACACACCCATTTTTTTTTTCTTTACCATTTAGACAGTCACAAAAGCAAAGTAGGCTTTCGAGTTCAAGAGGGCTCACTGTTAGGGAGAACCCAACATCTAAAGCAACAGAGAGTACTTTGTAAAGTATATAAGTGTACTTAGCCAAAAACCTACTTACATTTTTATACAGCTGAGGAAATCTACTTCCCAAGTAAAACACACAGGATATATAGCCACAAATGAAGCCTGACATTTCAATCATATCAAGAGAGTTCTGAAAAAGAAAGGTACATATATTTTGGCAAGAATGTTTTCAGGCATTTCAGAGGATTAAACTGAGAGTCCACTGGCTGATTTTCTGGACAGAACTCCTTTCAAAGGAGTTCAGGGCTGCTCTTCATATGACCAAAAAGGGCTAGAAATGGTTTAATCTTTATCTCACAACAATGCACACTGCTGCGTCATGGCCATGACCGAGATCAAAACTAGTGCCAGGCTTTAGGATACGACACTAATATCAATCCAGTCCTGCTAAAAAAGCCTGCGCACAGTAATTCAAACCAGAACTAAGAACTGTAGCTAGGACCACTAAAAAAAAAAAAAAAAGAATCATCCTGTCTGGAGAAAGCAAAATACTCGTTTTTCACAGTTTAAGAGTTGTTAGTTTTCTCACTCTCGCTGCGTTTTGAAAATAAGCTGCTTCCCTGCTGGGCAATGTTGCTGGATTACAATTATTTTACTGGCATTAGTACGAAGGCCATAAAATCGCCAGAATA